CATTCACCCCACCATCCTCTATCAACTAGAAGCTGCACCTTCAAGGAATCTTTGCTGGGATAGGAAGGAAGCCCTCCAGATCCTTCGGCTAACAAAACCAGATCTCTCTCCTTAATAAGAAAGCTCTCCTGTTACTTCAATCTGCATGAAATTTAAGGCTCATTTTATAAATGCTGCCCAAGAATGTCTCCTCTTCTTAAAACTTCCCCAGTTATCCAAGTTGAGAAAAAAAAAAGGTACCTGGGCAATTAGATCAGGATGAACGGGGGAGGAAAAAAACATCGATTGCCTGAAATGAGTGTGCCTCCCCTGGGCAGATCCATGGGGCCTACCCACAGGCCGGTTACTCAAATAACAGGCCACACGGGGTGGGGGGAAGCCTCAAAGAAGCCACACGTGCTTGGCTGATGAAAATTGCCTGGAAAGACACAGCAAACTTTAAGGCTGTCGGTCTGTTGTTAGGAGGGTCAGGCTGAAGAGGTGAAATGGGCAGACCACCTGAGGACCTAATGCCAGCCGGGAAGAGGGGAGGGGCAACCAGGTACCAGCTGTTGCAGAGAAAATACCATACCCAAGGCTCCACCTACCAATTTTCTCTTATGCTAAATATAACTTGCTGTTCTTTGCCCAAACGTTCTTGGTTAGGGAGACATAAGTGGGAAAGTGGAGGTGATGTTTTTATTATAAGACCTTGCCTTTCCTTAGGTTCATGGAGAAAGACCTAACAAACAGAAACAGCCAGTCTCCATCTGACTCATCAGCCCCTCGGTCGGGGGTTTGCCTGAGATGGCCAGGAAAAGAAGTGTTCTGCCCGTGATTAGGTGAGGCTGAGCCAGGAGGGATTCCTCCAGGAGGTGCTGCAGTGGGCCATGGACGACCCTCCATTCATTCCACTCCAAGGGGCTGGTCCAAAGCCAGCCACAGACATTCCAGTGCTTTTACCGGGGCCTAGGTTACGTCAACTCACCTCCAACCAGGAAGGCTGTTAAAATGGATGCTGGGCCCCATCCTCAGAGCTTCTGGAGCCTGGAAACCTACATCTCTATCAAGTACCTGGGTGCTGCTGGTCCAGGGACCGCACTGCATGAGCCATGGTTTGGGCACAGACAAGTGACAGGGGACTGGGGACTGTGCTGAGGACCTGCTGGAGAAGGCTTCTTTGCTCATCAGGAGACACGAGAGGAGACAGCCTCCTTCATCCTCTGGACCATTTGTGATGATGGAGATGTTCTTTTATCTGATCTGTCCAATATGGTAGCCACTAGCCACAGGTGCTACAGAACCGTGGTCCCCAACCTTTTTGGCACCAGGGACCGGCTTAGTGGAAGACAATTTTTCCACGGACCGGTGGCGGCAGGGGGCGGGAGATGGTTTCGGGGATGATTCAAGCTCATTACATTTATTGTGCACTTTATTTCTATTATTATTACACTGTAATATATAATGAAGTAATTATACAACTCACCATAATGCAGAATTAGTGGGAGCCCTGAACCTGTTTTCACTTGCCACTCACTGAGAGGTTTTTTTGTTTTGTTTATTTATTTATGGCTGTGTTGGGTGTTTGTTGCTGTGCGTGGGCTTTCTCTAGTTGCGACAAGTGGGGGCTACTCTTCGTTGTGGTGCGCAGGCTTCTTCTCTTGTTGCGGAGCATGGGTTCTAGGTGCGCAGGCTTCAGTAGTTGTGTTGCACAGACTAGGTAGTTGTGGCACACGGGCTTAGTTGCTCCATGGCATGTGGGATCTTCCCGGACCAGGGCTCGAACCCCTGTACCCTGCACTGGCAGGCGGATTCTTAACCACTGCGCTACCAGGGAAGACCCACTGATAGGGTTTTATTTTTTTATTTTTATTTATTTATTTTTTTTGCGATACGCGGGCCTCTCACCGTTGTGGCCTCTCCCGCTGCGGAGCACAGGCTCCGGACGCGCAGGCTCAGCGGCCATGGCTCACGGGCCCAGCCGCTCCGCAGCATGTGGGATCTTCCCGGACTGGGGCATGAACCCGTGTCCGCTGCATCGGCAGGCGGACTCTCAACCACCGCGCCACCAGGGAAGCCCTAGGGTTTTGATATGAGTCTGCAAGCAATTGATTTATTATGGTCTCTGTGCAGTCAAACCTCTCTGCTAACGATAATCTGTATTTGCAGCCGCTCCCCAGCACTAGCATCACCGCCTCAGCTCCATCTCAGATCATCAGGCATTAGATTCTCATAAGGAGCGCACAACCTGGATCCCGCACATGCGCAGTTCACAGTAGAGTTCGCGCTCCTATGAGAATCTAATGCCACCGCTGATCTGACAGAAGACGGAGCTCAGGCGGTAATGCAAGCAATGGGGAGTAGCTGTAAATACAGATGAAGCTTCACTTGCCCACTGCTCACCTCCTGCTGTGTGGCCCGGTTCCTAACAGGCCGCGGACTGGTACTGGTCCGTGGCCTGGGTGTTGGGAACCCCTACTACAGAACACTTGAAATGTGGCTAGTGTAACTACTGAAACTAGTGATTTAAATTTTATTTCACGTTAATTCACTGGAATTTAAATAGCCACGTGTGGCTAGAGGCTCCCACCACGAACACTGTAGCCCTGGACACAGGTAGTGTGTCCTGCAGTCAGGTCTAGATGTGATGGCTGACCCCTGCCATCAGCCCAAGGGAAGACACCACACAGAGGCCCACAAAGCCACACCCGATGTACTCAGCCCACCCTCAGCACAGTTACCATGTGAGATCACACATTCCTCTGCTATCTAAGGCAGTATGAGTAGGTATTCCCTACTGCTGCAGCCAAAGGCCTTCTGGCCAATACAGCCACGGGGACATTCAAGTCAGCCTGCAGAAAAATGGGGCTACTCACCCCAAGGTCAACGTCAACTCTACACAGAAAAGCAAGAGAAGGAAAACTTGGCTACCGGTGAACTGGAGAGGTTTTGACCTGAAGGGATGCAACCAGGTCTTTGAGCATCCAAGATAGGGGCCCAGACAGTGAAGTACAGTAGAGCTCTGCTCGCAGCCTGCCTGCCAACAAGTATCCGGGGACACTGGTGACCCCTCCATCCCAAGGGCCAAAGGGTGGGTCACTGACAGGATGCTCTTCCAAAGTATACGAAGGTCCAGCTGCACAAAAAAATACCTTCTTACTCAGGCCTGCAATTCCACCATTAACAATACTTGCTGTGGTTTAAACAATTATCTTTCTCTAGAATCTCCTTTTAAAATGCAAATGCTCCTAGGAAAGGTAACACTTTAAGCCTTGAAGGGTCAATGTGAATGAGTTTGTCAGATATCAGATCATTGTACCTCGCTCCCAAGCGGAATATGGAGCCGGAAAAGGGTGAGGCCAATACAGGTAGGTGCCCTCAGAGCTCAACCAGCTCCGTTTTACAAAACCCCACATTACTGTTCCACACATCCTGACTGCCTGCCCGGCTCATGCACTTCCTGAAAGCCAGCCCCGTGTTCAAAATCCCAGCAGCCCCATCATTCAATCCCTGTGTCTCACCAACCCAAGCAGGCAGGACAAAGTGAACTGTGGTCCCATCAGAGTCCTCCCTGAACCCTAGACGGGACGAGGGGACCTGCGAGGGGCTGAATTGTGCCCCACAAAACAGACGATGAAGTCCTAATCCCCAGTAAATGTGAATGTGACCTTATTTGGAAATTCGGTCTTTAGAGATGATCAAGTTAAGATGAGGTCATACTGGAGTAGGGCGGGCCCCTAAACCAATGTGAATGGTGTCCTGTTTAAAAAAGGGAATTTGGAGACACACACAGAGAGAACACCATGTGAAAGTGAAGGCAGAGACTGGGGTGATGCACCTACAAGCCGAGGAACGTCAGAGGTTGCCGGCACACAACCAGGAGAAGAGGCCTGGAAAAGACCCGCTCCTGGCTGCCTTCAGGGCACAATGATCTTAGACTCTGGCCTCCAGAGCTGTGAGAGAATAAACCTCTACTGCGTAAGTCACTCAGTTTACGGCACTTTGCTAGGGCAGCCCTAGCAAACAAATACAGTGTCCCCTACTTGTACCCCTCTCACCACTCTGACCTCACTTACTGTATCTACTCATCTGACTGTCTCCCCAGGAGACCCTAAGATCCAGGAGCACAGGGACCAGGTCTGCCTATTCACCGCTATATCGCAAGCCCACTTCTGGCCCTCTGGAGGTGTTCCGTATGAGTCAACTTAACACATAAGAGGCCTGCCCCAGGCAGGTTCTAGAAGCTCAGGCACGAGACTTAACTTCTCTGAGTGTCCATTTCCCCACCTGTCTACTGGAGGAAACAGGAAGAATTGGACCAGATGACTTCTGTGAGCCCTTCCAACTCAAAAACTCCAGGACTCACCACACCACTGAAGGTGTACCCATCCATCAAGGTCAAACCAGGACACAGAGCTACACTAGGGCATTAAATAGAGGGAATGTGACACAGAAGACGGGCCACAGAGGCGTGGGAAGACTGGGAGACTATGACAACCTTCCTCTGGGACGTCTTCAGTGAAGTGACAGCAGGGCCAGCCTCCCTCTATGGGCTCCTGGGACCCACATCCAGAGACACACCGAATTCGGCATGGACTGGCCACTCCTGCGCCCCAGACAACACTCCCAGTGGGCCAGTCCTGCTCACAAACAACAGCCCCCAAAGGGGCCAGTCTCTTGGATAGTGGTCACTGTGTACTACGAGGCCTGGGGGTCGGAGGCAAAGGGCTCTCTGAGAAGCGCTGTGCCGTGACAAAGTGAAAACATGGTGACACAGGTGCCTCTGTGTCATGCACCTCCCTCCTAACACCAGGAACAGCGTTCTGCCCTCCTCCATTAAGAGGACGTGCTGATGAGAGGAAATGTGAACGGAACCAACAGAAGATGACTCCATGAATGATCTGACAGGTGTGGGCCAACTCTCCCACCCCATGCACCCAGCGCCACCCCAGCTCATACCCAGACCCCCGAGCGGCCGGTGTCCTCCAGGAAGGAGGGGTGCCCAGGAAGGTGGTACTCACCCACACTGCTGAGGGAGCTGCTGCTCTCCGAGTCTGAGGGCATGATGGACAAGACACTGTACGTGGAGCCTGGAGACAGAAAGAGAGGCCATTTGTTACTAACCCCAAAGGGATTTCTCATCTTATGCCCCAAACCACTGTGAGACCAAATGACTTCAGTCGGCGCCAGGCTGAGAAGCAGCACCACCTGGGGTACCAGACCTCACAACCACAGGCTGGGCAGGGGAGGTGCTGTCAGCAGGGCCTGGTCTTTGGTGCTTCCGCCTCACCTTCGGCCCCCCTCCGACTGAGCTACGCACGGGCAGAGGGGAGCTTGGAGTCAGCCAGCTGGCTTCTTATCGGGACATCTGGGGAAGGGCTCAGCAAGGGAGCAACATGCCCCAGGGCAACAAGGGGTCTGGGGATTTCCTACAGATTTGTATCAGTGTGATTCTGGCTTTCATATAGAGGGTAACAGAGCCTAAGTTAAACATCTGTGAACTCTTCGTTCCTTGTGCCTAGCTGTTCTGCTCTTAGGTTCTAACTGTATTCAAGCTCAGTCCTTAATAATTTAGTCAGTGGCTGCTCCCTTATTAAAAGTTACTGATAGAATTATAAGCAATCACACTGTCACCAAAGCTAGGGAGTAACATGTTTTGTTTTTCGTTTTTAAATATTTATTTATTTTTGGCTGCGTTGGGTCTTCATTGCTGTGTGCAGGCTTTCTCTAGTTGCAGCGAGCGGGGGCTACTCTTCGTTGTGGTGCACGGGCTTCTCATTGCGGTGGCTTCTCTTGTTGCAGAGCACAGGCTCTAGGCGCGCGGGCTCCAGTAGTAATGGCGCGCGGGCTTTGTTGCTCCGTGGCACGTGGGATCTTCCCGGACCAGGGATCAAACCCGTGCTCCCTGCATTGGCAGGAGGATTCTTAACCACTGCGCCACCAGGGAAGCCCTATGTTTCGTTTTGTTTTGTTTTGGGGGGGGAGGTGTTGACACTTGTTATTAACTCCTGGTGGCAGCCACACAACCACCACGGTTTGGTTTGCATTCAAATATCTTCAAAGCCAGGATGTTTCCTGCCCAGCATCAGGAAAAACCTCTGGGTCAAGAAACCCAGCTCTGAGTGCAGTTCTCATCCACGTGCAAGTAGCTGGCCAGTGGCCTCAGTTTTCTGGATCTCTGTTTCTCAGTCTGTAACATGAAGGGGTTCAACCAGATGGCTCACAAGGTCCTTTCCCCTGTCCCATTTCAGAGATGACATTTTCCATGATTAATGGAAACAAAGCTGTGCTTTGCTTATCAAGACTACAAATGACACAAAAGTTAAGAGGGCAGGCGAACCCCAACCCAGAGGCTGAATGGGAGTCGAAAAAAGCACAACATGCAGAGATGGTGGGTCAAATAAAACAAGACAATGGGAAGAAGGCAATGTTTTGCTCTTAGAACCGAAAGAACTGTACAATGAAGGTGTGTGTGTACTGGGCAGAGTGAGTGAGCCAGAGATGAGATTTTTGCAATAAAGCCTTTGAATGAGACTTAGGGCTTTGGTGTCAGAAAGCAGCCGAGAACTAATGAGACCTTGGGCTCCAGGACCAGAAATGCGGGGTCAAATTTAAGGGGCTCTCTCCGATGTCAACTCTTGACTAGCTACCCTACACCTGCACACCCTCAGAAGGAAAAAAAGAAAGAAAAGAGATAAAGAGACGGGGTAAGCAGGGGAGAGGGAGAGGAGGAGGGAAACTCATGGACGGGAGGGAGGGAGCAGTGCACCAGGGGACAGGGGAGACCCCGAAGGGAAGGGGAAGGTGTCGGGGGAAAGATGAAGACCACACAGAGGTGAGGGAAACACACAGCCCTGGCATAAGAGTCGGCATGCAGGGGAGCTAGCTGGTGTACCCACCAGACAGGCAGAGAGATGAAAGGTGAGAGGAGAAAAAAGAAAACCAGAAAAAGGGACTTTGGTAATGGCAAGAAGTGGGACAGTGGCCAGGAATGGCCAGTGGCCTCATTATCAGATTTTCCAAGAACCTCTGGGTGTCTGGCGTGGATGGAAGAGGAAGGCTCGGGGAGTGGGCAGGACCGTCCAAAGGGATGCAACTTGTTCGACTGGCCTACGGCAGCAGCCCAGACACAGCTGGTGGGTGCAGGTCAGGAAGGGGGCCTAACGGTCAGTGCTGCCTTGGTCTGAGAAGACCTGGGTGGCGGGGGTCTCCCACGACATATGCATTCACTCCACGCACACCTGGCAGAGATATCAGAAGTGGCACCTGCACATCACCTGAAAAGAGACGGAACCAGAAAACCCCGTGCAGCCCTTAAAGTCCTTGATCCTACTAAAAAATAAGTAAGCAGTGTTCAGTGAGATATCGCCTGTATTTAAGTTCAATCCACGCTACTCATCTTGCTGCCCCTTCCACATCTCTGTGTTTTTGTCTCAACCGTGAGCATCACAAACTTCTCAAAGCATCTCTCTTCCCATATCATGAACATTAAGCACTGCATAAAGATCCATGAAATAAAGTCAGGTGCAATTCAGCCAATCCATCAGTATCTCCAAAACACAAGAATGTAACACAATGCCTATGTTCTAAAGTCAACAGCCATTTTCTTAATAATTTTTCATTGTTGTTATGTGAGGGCAAGGAAGACTAGCCGGCTGGTGTGTCGGTGGATTGTTTTTGAAAGCGGGCACAAATACACTGTCCCACTCACACCTCTGAGATGTGAGCTCAGCCCAGCCCTGCTGGCGACACCACAGCCAGCACTCTGGCGGATGCTCCCTGCACGCCTCGCCTCTTTCTCGCTACTGGCATCAGCAGCGCCCCATCTTCCAGTAAGCCGCCCCTCCCCTTCAAATCATCTCTCTCCTCCCCCATGGCAAGTTTCCACTGTTAATTAAACTTGGCAGACACCCTTCTCTCTCTCCTCCCACCTCCCCCCTGGCTGGGAGGAGTCAACTGGCCAACTGACATGTGCTGGTCCCCTTCCCTGTCCCCCACATCCTGACAGGGCTCTGGGCCTGACCCGGGGGCGGTGTGACATCTCTATCGGCATCTCTGGGCATCACCTCCCCCGAGTCGGCTGGCAGGGCTCCTGGGAGCCAGGGGGGGAAGCGGTGCCAGGGAACGGTTAAAATTGGACAAGGCCCAGTTTCTACGATGTTCCCAGGGCCTTAGACGTCATTCGGGGGAAAAAAAGCCCCGAAGACGACGCTGTCTTGGTTATGCTTTGTCTCTGCAGCTATTGTTGTCTTAAAAAGCCTGTGTGGTCAGGACTGTCGGGAAAAGGCAAAAGGAGTCGCTTTCCTCTGAAGTCACGCAGTATCCTTTCAAAGCGATGGCCTCTGAGAGGTGGGACGGTCGTCATCTACCCCTGGGATTTCACAATCCAATCTGGAGCCTGACAGAGGTCCCATCTCACTGCGCACGCTCTCCTGCCCCGCACAGCCCCTCACCCTTGACCATGTGGGAGCTCCCCTGAAGGCACCTGCACCCCGACCCGGGCCCTAATGCGCACCCTGCACATCACACACACAGAGGCCTGGGTGAACGAGGGCCGACCTCCTCTGCTCCCACTGCCTACCCCCAAGCCCCACAGGGCAGCAGGGCACTGCCACTCAGGACCGTCACCACAAACTCAGACAAGCCTGTGCAGAGGTCCAGAGAGGACCCAGAGAAAGTCATACGATTGGGAAACATTTCCAGAAAATGAGGGCAGAGGGACTTCCCTGGTGGTCCAGTGGTTAAGACTCCACACTCCTGATGCAAGGGGCCCGGGTTCAATCCCTGGTCAGGGAACTAGGTCCCGCATGCCTCAACAAAAAGATCCCGCACGCTGCAACTAAGACCCAGTGCAGCCAAATAAATAAATATGAAAAAAAAAAAAAAAGAAAAAGAAAAAGAGAGCAGAGCAGGAGCCCAGGTCTTCATGGCCATGTGAAGCAGAGTGATGATACAGGGGGTTCTCTACCATAGCAATAACCTGAGGCCCCGGTCAAGGTGCAGTTCTGCCTAGGCAGATTAGGGTGGGGCCTGAGACTCTGCATTTCCAACAAGCCCACAGCAGGGACTGAAAGCAAGGTACCAAGGCTGACCCGAGCCAGCAGGTGGCATGTACATGGAAGTCATGGCAGAAGCCCTGGGAGAGAGCTGGCAGACTCTCTGGGACTGGCCTGGGCCACAAGCATTGTCTGTGTTGTTCCCAAAAGGCCGCCCCCTGCTAATTGTGTTTACTCGGTGACTCAGCCCCACTGGGTCATGGAGACCACTTCAAAGAACTTCCAGTAAAATCACCCAGGCGATAACAGAACGCCCAGCCCTCCAAGGCCCCCTCCCGTGGCTGCGGGGCCCCTAACACACCCCTCCATTCACCTGGGGCTTGTAAGGGCCCCAGTGACTCACACTTCCTCCCCATGAAACCGCGACGCTTAAGGGGCTTGTTCCAGCCTCCAGCCAACACGCAGTCTGCGCTCCAGCCCGTGGCGCTGCCCTGAGACAGCTCTGGGCGCTGGGAGGACATGCACCTCCCGCGAGCACCGGGGAAGGGGGGGAGAAGCAAGCCGCTCTTCCCCGGGGGCTGAGAGACTGGGCAGGGAGGTGCTGCCTGGGCAGTGGGGGCTGTGAGACTGGGCAGGGAGGTGCTGCCTGGGCAGTGGGGGCTGTGAGACTGGGCAGGGAGGTGCTGCCTGGGCAGTGGGGGCTGTGAGACTGGGCAGGGAGGTGCTGCCTGGGCAGTGGGGGAGGGGGGGCGAGCAGTCACCACCAGGCCACCTGTCCCACCCTGGAACCATCCTCCAGCTCAGAGCTGACCACCCTCGGACGGCTGAGGGTGCCCAGTCACTCTAGTACCCACACGTGTGCATCATGTCCTGGCACGTGGCAGAGCCGTGCGAGCTGTATAAAGAAGACAAGCCAGGGGCTCAGGAGGCTACCGACCTGCTGTGAGACTCTGTGGAAGTCCCTTCCCCTCTCTGAGCCCACGGCCCTCGTCTGCAAATCGAGGCAGCAGTGACTAGAACACTAACAGGTTGCCAGCCTGCCTGGGTTCAACTCTCAACTCTGCCACTTAGCAGCTGTGTATCCTCGGGTGAGT